AACAATATTCTTCCTTGAATATTAATTAATCCCTACTCATATTTCATATTAATATTTTGAACATTACTTAAAGGATCAACTAGTTTTGTTTCATATATTAATTATTACTAGAAACGATCAACGAACCGATGGTTAATCGTTGATGGTTTCACAAGTAAGTAACTTCGGTTTATTAATGCACGGTCGTGGTTAATAAACTTAAGAGGGATTAATTTTGTTGGTTAAACCGAAACCGCTTGTGTTGAGGTTATCAATCTCAATTGATTTCATCAAGGAGTTAGAAAGATTAAATGCTACTATTAAATCGGTATAAGGCGTTGTTCTATATTTGATTAATAGTAAGGGTTATTAATGAACGGTCGTTGTTAATAACTACCCTCGATGAAGTGGATATACTCCCCGATTGAGTATTCGAGAGGGAATAAGTTATAGATATAACAATGATCGACTAAAATATATCAACAAGTGGAAAGTAGCAATGCCAAGTCCTTTTTATCTTTGAATTAAACACATATAGGTTGTTCATCTTAGTTCTTAATTAAATTAAATCACTCAATCCAAATCCCCCTTTTTATTTACGAAGTATCATAAAAAGAGAAATATTCCTTTCCCTGTGGATACGAACTCTACTACGCTATACTACGTATAAGTGTTTAGTATTGAAATTATTTTGACGCACCATGACAAAGTGCTCGTCAAATTTGGCGCTGTTGCCGGGGAAAGGCAATTACTTTTCTTTTTATTTTATCTCATAAAAATCAAAAACAATATATATATATATATATATATATATATATATATATATATATATATATATATAAATCTTGCTCTTCTATTTCTGAGCTTACATGAGTTTAGAGTATATGGATACCAACACTTCATCCTTAGAGAGTCAAATTTCCTTCTTGACTTCTCTAATAAAGGAATCTATCTCTAACTCAAAAGCTCAAGATGCCAAGACATGCAACATTTGCATGTCTCACAGGCATCTTACGGACTTCTGCCCAAAGCTCCAAGAAGAATACCTTGCACAAATTGATGATGTACCTCACATGAGGTATGATCCATTCTCCAACTCTAAAATGTCCACGAAGGACATGGTTCGGGCTCTTACTAACAGTGTGACCGCCATGCAACAAAACATGGTGCAATTCCAAAATTAGACCAAGTCTAGCATTTTGAACTTGGAAACTCAAATGAGTCAAATAGCCGGGGTCGTGAGTAGGCTTGAAGCAAGGGATTCAGAAAAACCTCCTTCTCAACTAGAATGTGATCCTAAACAGCAAACTTTTGCAATCACATTGACAAATGAAGAGGAAATGCAAAAGGAGATCCAGAATCCAGAAGAAGTAGAGGAAGAAAAAGACACGGAGCTCCAACTGGTCAACGAAGAGGATAATCTGAGCTTCAAGGTTAAATATCTATCCTTGTCATCTTTTGAGGTACCCCCATCAATTCTAAAAATTTTGAGGGAAACTCATAAACTTGGAAAGGACAATGACATTTCTGAAATCCTCTTCAAAATTGAAGGATCGAAAAACTTTTCATTGACCATAGTAAACGATAATTTCTTCCCTTTCCTCCCACCGCATGAATCAATGACAATCTGGATATTTGATCCTGGAAAGATTCCCAAATTGAAGAGTCGAGAAGTTGAGCACTCCTATGAACGTCCTAGGAGTGAAAGTGTGAAAAAGATAAACTATCATGATCCAAGTTTGAATGACTGAACACAATGATGGCGTCGTGCCACGACGTTAAATAAGGCGCTTCTTGGGAGGCAACCCAAGCAAGGTACGTTTACTTGTTTTATTTTATCTTTGCACCTTTCAAAAAAAAAGCTGAAAAAATCAAAAAATAGCCTAATACTCGACCGGGTATTACAAAAACCCGGCCGGGTTTTTGGCTAAAACAGCCACTGCCAAGCGAAAAACAGCATACCCATTCGGGTATTACTAAAACCCGGCCGGGTAATCGGGATTTCAGTCTGATTTGGTCCCAAATCAGCCCACAAAACACCCATTCTCTTCCCTAATCTCCCAAACTCAAACCCTCAACCTCCATTGACAATCATCCACACTTCAAACCACTCCAATCTCAACCAAAACATCCAAATTAACCCCACATTCTTCTTATCCACATCATCCTCTCCAACCACAAAACCTCCAAAACAAAATGTCATTTCTTTTTCTCCTCGCCCTACTTTCCAAACCCACACACACAAAACCCACCAAATTTCCCAAATACCCTACAAACCGAATTCCTTAACCCCACACACACAAAACCCACCAAATTTCCCAAATACCCTACAAACTGAATTCCTTAACCCCCCAAGCTGAACTTTGGAATTCACTAAAAAAAATGAAAAAAATGTACCAAAAAGAACACATATCTTCGACCACCAAGGGTACTTTCCAACATACCCACCTGGTACAACACCCGACGTGGTATTATCCCTCATATTAGGGCGATTTGGAGTTTCTAGCTCCGGTGAACATAGTCTTGGTGGCGATGGTGGTTATAGAGGGTACGACGACGATCATGGTGCCGAACACTAGGGACAGTGTTTCGAAAAAAGTGTAGGGGAGACACTCATTTGGTATGTACTCATTTTTTTAACATTGTAACTTGCATTATTTTTCTTCAAAAAAAAAACAAAAAAAAACAATAAAAGAAAAAAAAAATGCTAGTTAGGTTGAAACCCCCCCCCCCCCCCCAAAAAAATGGGCAATCTAAGCAAAAGTGGCTAAAATGAGTGAGTTGTGAGAAAAAAAATAAAAAGAGAGGCTAGGATGAAAACCTGAAAAAGCTCCTAGGCAAAATGAGAGAATGAGAGAAAAATATCTATTTATGCAAGAAGATAATCAAAAAAAGAAGAAGAAAATGTTGGATGGTTGTTCTGCTACTCTTGTGGTTTTTGAAAATGTCATGGACATGTTTTAATTTACTCGAGACGAGTAAAGGTTCAAGTGTGGGGGTGTTTGATAGGCACTAGTTGTTAGTGCCTAAGTATACATTTTTATTATTGTTTGTAATGTTTATTTACTAGTTTTGTGCAAGTTTATAGTTGTTAGTTTGCATTTGATTGTAATCGTATTTCTAGCATTTTTATTGTTTGTTGTAAGTTGTAGTTAGTTTGGCTATAAGTTTAGGATAGGTTTGGAAGCAAAAAGGATGAAGAAACCTGAGTTTTGTGCAAAACCCGGTCGGGTATGGACTTCACCCGGCCGGGTATGAAGTGACAAAGGAAACTGCTGCAAAACTAGCAAATACCCGGTTGGGTATTCCATATACCCGGTCGGGTATGAAGTGATTTCGGACCAAAGAACGTGCAGAAGACACAAAAACATGGGAAAATATTTGATTTGGTAAATACCCGGTCGGGTATGTCAAAATACCCGGCCGGGTATCCGGCATTAGGTGTTGAAAACACCTATAAATAACCCCATTTTCCTTCACTTTTCATCATCCCTTCTTCCATACTCTTTAGCTCAGTTTAGAATAGCATTTCTTTATATTTTTCTAGCTATGTTTAGTCTCCAAATGAGGACCTAAACTTCCATTCTTGGTGTTGCTCTTGAAGCTTGTTGATTATTAAAGTTGTGAGTTATTTTCTTAACTTCTTTCTTTGAATATTAATTAATAGTTCTTTCCTTAATACCATCTCTATATTGATGTTGAGGAGTGTTGCTAAGATGACAATTAGTTAACATCTCGACATTAGTTAGAATGATATTTTCTTCCTCTATATTAATATTGGGGAGTGTTGCTAAGATGACAATTAGTTAACATCTTGATATTAATTATAGTAGGATTCATCTTCTTTAACAATATTCTTCCTTGAATATTAATTAATCCCTACTCATATTTCATATTAATATTTTGAACATTACTTAAAGGATCAACTAGTTTTGTTTCATATATTAATTATTACTAGAAACGATCAACGAACCGATGGTTAATCGTTGATGGTTTCACAAGTAAGTAACTTCGGTTTATTAATGCACGGTCGTGGTTAATAAACTTAAGAGGGATTAATTTTGTTGGTTAAACCGAAACCGCTTGTGTTGAGGTTATCAATCTCAATTGATTTCATCAAGGAGTTAGAAAGATTAAATGCTACTATTAAATCGGTATAAGGCGTTGTTCTATATTTGATTAATAGTAAGGGTTATTAATGAACGGTCGTTGTTAATAACTACCCTCGATGAAGTGGATATACTCCCCGATTGAGTATTCGAGAGGGAATAAGTTATAGATATAACAATGATCGACTAAAATATATCAACAAGTGGAAAGTAGCAATGCCAAGTCCTTTTTATCTTTGAATTAAACACATATAGGTTGTTCATCTTAGTTCTTTATTAAATTAAATCACTCAATCCAAATCCCCCTTTTTATTTACGAAGTATCATAAAAAGAGAAATATTCCTTTCCCTGTGGATACGAACTCTACTACGCTATACTACGTATAAGTGTTTAGTATTGAAATTATTTTGACGCACCATGACAAAGTGCTCGTCATGGTGGAACCGGGGCCCGATGATTTGTTACGGTACGCACCCGAGGACTGCTTCGCCGTTCATACTTTGTCAGTGGAGATGGGGTTCCGGTTTCCGCTCCACCCTTTCCTGCTGGAGTACCTGAGGTTCGTGGGGCTGGCCCCCTGTCAGCTAACGCCCAATAGCCATTCTTATGTGGCCGGCTTTTTCTCTCTGTGCCGGAGCCGAGGGGTCCCACCTACCCTCGACCAATTTTTCCTATCCTTCAACCAATGTCGGGGGGGGGGGGGGGGGGGGGGGGGGGCATTCGAATGCAGAGGGCTTCGCCAACTTGCAGCAACTCCCGGAGTTCAGGCTATTTGATGATGTCCCTTCGTCCCACAAGGGATGGAAGGATAAGTTTTGTTATGTCCGTTTGGATGAGAACCCCTTTCCGGCCCCGCTTCACAACAGCTTTCGGCGGCATCCGAAGGTAGGGAATGCAGCCCTCGAGAAGAACGGCAAGATACTCGCCAAGAAGCCGGAGGGGTCTGAGAAGCATGTGAAGATCAAAGATGTTGCCCTTCCGGATGAACTTTTCAAGCTAGGCTTCCGGCAGTATCGGCCGAGGGGCTCGCAGGATGAAAGATACCCTCCGATAGATCGTGTATTTGAGAGCGTCATAGGTGATTACCGAAGGGTTATCTGTTTTGTACTTTAGAATTTTTTTTTTGTGATCACTCCATGTCACTGTAGTTGATCCCCCTCGGCCTAATCATTTGGTGTCCTGTCTTTGCAGGTAACAATATGGATGTGAACTCCCTGTTTGCCCTGAAGAAGACGAAGGGGAAGAAGAAGGACCCCTCGGGTCCGAAGCCGGTGGGTGCTTCCCCCATAGAGGAGCCCTCCCAAGCTGCTGCCGCCGGTGTTGGTGCCGGGAGTTCCAAGGGCGAGGGGGGCCTAAAGAAGAAGAACGGCGGTAAGGGGCTTGAGCCCCCGGCCAAGAAGTTGAAGGCCGCGGACTCCGGTAAGCAGCCGGCTGCTGATGTTGTCCTCATCGTGGACGAGGGGCATGCCTCCGGCCCCATCCCTCAGGAGCGTGTCTACCAAGACTTCTTCGGCCGGGAGAAGTTAGAGGCAATTGTGCCGAAGTGGGCCTCGATCCTGGAAGGTAACCTCATCCCTTCGGCACTGATGAGACAAGTGATGCCTTCAGCTGACAGGCTGGCTCTCGCCCAGATGAATGATGAGGGCCTCAACTCGAGGATCCTTCAGAATAGTGCCTCCGTGAGTTGCTTTTCCTTATCATGTTCATTTGCTTTTGTGGGGGTGTAATGCATGCACTGTGTCTGACCCCTTATACTTTTACTGTTGCAGGCCTTCATGGGACTTTGTGAGCACTTCCGGAGGGTCGAGCAGATGATGGAGGCTAGGGGTGCTGCCGAGGAGGAAGCTGCTAGCCTCAGAAAGAAGCTGGCTGAAGCCGAGGACTCCCTTCGCCTGGCCACCGAGAGCATGGAGCAGCGGGTGCGGGCTGCGAAGGCCGAAGGCAAGAGCGAGGGCCTGGCTGAGGCTGGGGAAGCAGCTGCCGAAGCCGCCCGTGTTGCCGCTGAGGAGGCTGAGAGGGCAAAGGCCGAGGTGGTGGCCAAAGCTGAGAAAGCTGCTGTGGAGGCCTTCGTTGCCAGTGGTTGGACCGCCGAGGACAGAAGGGACTGGGTCTCCTCGGTGGTTGAGAGGAGTGTAAATGCTTGGGTGGGAGGCCCCGGCAAGATGTGGCTGGCTGAGAGGGGCGACTCATATTACCAAGGCGGGGAGTTCTTCACTCAACGTCTTATCTATCGGAAGCTGGCCCAGCACTTCAATGTGTCCCCGGAAGATTTTAAGCCGGAGGCCTACGGTCTTCCCCCTCGGCAACCGGACGTTAGGATCCCCCTCCCCGAAGGCGAAGAGAGGCCGGTGCTTGAAGACTCTGAGACTATGAGGGAATGTGGCCTCGGTGGTGATGGAGACAATGCCGAGGGCGGTGCCACCTCCAAAGCAGCTGAGGAAGGAACCGCTGAGTAATTTTTGCTTTTAAAATTTTTGAACAATCTTTGTAAAAACATTCTGTAGCTTTCGGCCGATGTAACAAACACTTAACATTGTCCTCCTTTTCTTCTATGTATAATGCCTTCGGGCCTTTAGTGTTGAATCTATCTCCTTTTCCTCTTGAATGAATGCCTTTTATGTTATTCTCTGCTTTCTTTCCCTTCGTGCATGAATGTATGTTTGGCTAAACATTTGGCCGAAGGCCCAACATTTAGGACTTAGAAACTTCTAAGTGTTGTTCACCACTTGGCCTTTTGTTGTATGTTGAGTTGACCGAGGGCAAATCGTTTTGGGACTTAGAAAATTTCTCAAGTGCGGTTTTACCACTGAGCCTTCGGTTGTATGTTGAGTTGACTGAGGGCCAATCATTTCAAGACTTAGAAAATCTATCCAAGTGTAGTTTTACCACTGAGCCATCAATTGACAGACCCCTCTAGATATATGATCTTTAAGTTGAACATGCCTTAGCATAGACCGGAGGCCATGCTTTTGGACTTAGGATAATTTTCTTTGGACCCCTGTGTTGGAGGCCCAAGGAGGATCCCTTCTGCGATTGGATCCCCTGGTGTTGATTGTTTGAGCCGGAGGCTGTTGGAATGTGGACTTAGTAGATTTGAGATCATGTCCGGGAACACTCGCCTCTTGCAATGTGTAATAGGTGCCCTCGCCCCTTGTGTAATAGTGTGGACTTAGGAAATTTTGAAGAATACTCGTGTTGTACAGGGTACCCTCGATCCCTGTTGGTTTTCTGAATAGTACTTAACAGAAGCCTTCGGGTAACCTCTTGAAAAGTAGGTTTAGATTTATAGATGCCCTCGGGATTCGTTGAATTGCCAGAGGTTGTCGTTATTTGGACTCGGCAAATTTAACCCTTTTGTAGGATTATAACCTTCGGTGTTGGTTGATGCCAGAGGGCCACTGCCATTTGTTGGTTACTCCAGATAGTGGACTTAGTCTTTTTTTCTTTCTTTTGACAATATTTGTTGAATAGCAGCCTTTGGGATGAGGGACACTGCCAAAGGTGGCTTTTGGAATTAGTAGCTTCCGGATACCGGATGTGTTCCCATGGGAGCCCTCAGTATGATCTTTTTGCCTTGTAATGATCATTCTTGCTGGCTGCCAAAAGGTGCACATTTTTTGGAGTTTGTATTCATTGATTGCTCTTTGAGTCTACTCCCCTTCACCCCGCTTTTTTAGGGGAGGTAGTGAGGGGAAGGCTTGAAGAAACTTGGTTTCTTGGTAAGGCTTTGCCTATCGGGAGGCAACAGTATACACCGTTAGCTCCCCCCTCGGGATTAACCTTCCGGGTTCTGAGGGGATCGAGGGTCGTTTCCTCGGCACGAGACATAGTCTGTTGCCTGCCTCCCCTTGGGGGATGGCACAGAAAGCGCCTTAGTTTTGAAAGTCGACCCCTCACCACGAGACATAGTATGTTGCCTGCCATTCCCTTGGGGCAATGACGCGGGGAGCGTTTCATTTTGAAAGTAGAATCCTGAGGCATATTAGTTGCCTGCCATTCCCTTGGGGTGATGGTGCGGAAAGCGTTTCGTTTTTGAAAGTTGAATCCTGGGCATATTAGTTGCCTGCCATTCCCTTGGGGTAATGGCTCAGAAAGCGTTTCAGGGAAGGATTTTATTTGCATATTAGTTGCAAATGGCCGGGGGCACTTGGTGCCGCCGGGACCGGTAGGTGGTGCCTCCGGTATGGTTGCGTCCTCGAGGGGTACGTCTTTGTTTTTAACACTTGGTGTTTTCTTTTATAGATTGCTCTCGGTACTTGGTACCGAGGGGTCTTCTTAGAAAACACTTGGCGCTTTCTTTTGTTGTCGTAGTTGATTGGAGTATCTACCCTCGGTAGTTGGTACTGAGGGGTCTTGTTTGAGAAAAGGCCTTAGGCCGGGAGCTTGTATGAGGGCTTGGCCGCTCACTAATGTTTTGTTCTTTGTTCTTGGTGTCTTCAACATGTCTTCATTCTTCAAAAATTGGAGGCCTTGGGCCGTAGGATAATACATTCATTAGTTATGAGGGCTTGGCTGCTCCAACATTACTGATAAAATTTAACTAGGTGGTGTACATTCCAATGTCGAGGAACCTCGTTTCCATTGGGGCGTTTGAGTTTGTACGTTCCGGGTTTGATGATGGCTGTGACGATGTAGGGCCCTTCAAATTTTGGGTCCATCTTGCCGCCCTCGGTTGGTTGGCTAGCTTCCCTTCTTCGGAGAACATAGCCCCCCACCTGAAATTCTCGAGAACGAACCTTGGCATCGATGTAGCCTTTGACCTACCTCCGGTAGTTTTCCGCCTTTAGGAAGGCTTTCTCTCGGCGTTCGGAGATGAGGTGAAGGTCGAGGGCCATGTTGGCGTCGTTGATTTCGGGATCGTATTGGGCCACCCTTCGGGTAGGAAGGGTCACCTCCAAGGGAGCTTTAGCCTCGAATCCGTAGCAAAGGGAGAAGGGTGTTTCACCTCTTGCCCGCCGAGGGGTGGTGCGGTAAGCCCATAGGATGTCGTGAAGTTCTTCTACCCAGCCTCCCCCTTCGGCCTCAAGTTTCGTCTTTAAGCCCTCAAGTAAAGTTTGGTTGGCATATTTCACCTGACCGTTGCTTTGAGGGTAGGCAACGGATGAGAATGTGTGTTTGATGCCCCATGCCTCTAGGAGGGCACAGAAGGGGGCTGCCTCAAACTGAGTTCCGTTGTCAGATATGATTTGCTGGGGGATGCCAAACCTTGTGAGGATGTTCTTGAGGACGAAGTGGCGGCACCTGGCCTCGGTAATGCTGGCGAGGGGCTCAGCCTCCACCCATTTGGTGAAGTAATCGATGGCCACGATGATGTATCTATTGTTGGAGGTACCCCTCGGCAGGGGGCCTACAAGGTCAATGCCCCACCTGAAGAAGGGTATTGCTGTGCTGATGGGGGCATAGTTGACTGTTGGCCTCCCGGGAGCCTTCTGAAAATGTTGGCATGCGGTGCACCTTCAGGCGAGATCCGCACAATCCTGGGCCATCGTATGCCAGAAGTATCCCTGGACTATGAGCCTTCGGGACATGGAGAAGGGTCCCTGGTGAGCTGAGCAAGCGCCACTGTGCACTTCCTCCATTGCCACTTCGGCTTCGTCCTAATGAAGGCACCGGAGTAACATGCCGTTGTAGGATCGTTTGTAGAGCCTTCCATCTTCAATGGTGTAGCTTGGAGCCCTCAGCTTTGCCAGTTTGGCGCGGGTTTCATCCTCGGGCAGCTGCCCTGTGGAGATGAAGTTGACAATATCTGAGATCCAGTCCCCTGGCCTTTGTAGTATTTGCATGACGGGGCTGGCGTGTATGCTTGAGAGGCTGAGTTCCTCAATTCTCGCAATCTTCGAGAGGTGCTCCGGGGATTCAGTCGAGAGCTGTGATAAAATGTCAGCCTCAGAGTTTTGAGCCCTCGGTATTTGAGTGAGAGAATGGGCCTCAAATACCTTAAGCAGCTCCTTTGTCGCTTCCTTGTACTGCTTCATTTTTCCTTCCTTGGCCTCATATTCCCCTGAAATTTGGCCGACGACTAACTTGGAGTCGCACTTCACATGGATTTGTCTGGCCTTCATGTTCGCTGCCAGCCGAAGGCCACAGAGGAGGGCCTCATATTCCGCTTCGTTGTTGGAGACTTTGAAGGAGAAGCGGATGGCGTAATAGGCGCGGAAGCCTTCGGGATGTAATGAGAACTACCCCTCCCCCGCATGCCTTGGCTGCGGAAGAGCCGTCGCTGTAGAGGGTCCACCATTCATCTGAGGGTGCCGAAGGCTCCTCGTCTGTCGCTGATCTCTCCGTGCACTCCGTCACGAAGTCAGCCAGGGCTTGGCCCTTGATGGCCGGCCTCGGACGGATGTCAATGTTGTATTGGCTAAGGAAGATAGCCCATTTTACCATTCGGGAGGAGCTGGTGGGGCTCCTCATGAGGGCACCGAGGGGTTGGTGAGTGAGGACCTGGACCGGATGGGCCTGAAAGTAGTGGCCTAATTTCTTGACGGTCCAGACGATGGCTAGCACCGTCTTCTCCACAGGGGAATATCTGAGCTCCGCTTCCCTAAGGGTCTTGCTAGCATAGAAGATGGCATGATGGACGTCGTCTTCCTCTCGGATGAGGACTGAGCTGATGGCAGCCGGGCTGACGCCAAGGTAAAGGTACAGAGTTTCCCCTACCTTGGGTTTGGAGAGCACAGGGGGTGAAGATAAATATCGTTTTAGCTCGTCGAAGGCCTCCTGGCATTCTGAAGTCCATTGGAAGCCGGCAGTCTTTCTCATGATTTGGAAGAAGGGAAGGGACTTCTCCGCTGATTTGGATAGGAAGCGGTTGAGGGCTGCCAGGCGGTCCGTCAACCTTTGGACTTCCTTCACGTTGCGTGGGGGCTCCATGTTGATGATGGCCCGGATCTTCTCAGGGTTGGCCTCGATACCCCTTCGGCTCACCATGTAGCCTAAGAACTTGCCTCCTTACATGCCGAAGGTGCATTTCTTTGGGTTTAGCC